GATTTGTAGAAGGAATGAAGACCATACAACACCAGAATCTGGAATCTGAGTGGAGGTTTATCGCTGCTTCTGCAGACAGGAAACCCACACTGACTATAAAACCGGAAGTTMAAGTATTTATGCAGCKTCTTCAATGCCTTTGCTCGCCCCCTGCTGGCYTACGGCTGAGTCACAGGCATTCAGACAAAACTCTCACCTAATGTATTTCAAGCGGTCATTTATGTGTTGGCAAAATGTTTCGGACATGTAGCTAAACCTATTTTAATCAAGACATAATAGATTACACATTAGATTAACACTGTTATTATTTCAAAAAGAGRACTAAGAATATAGTGTTTTGCTTCTAAAATCAGTACTAACCTACCTRAAACTAAACTAAATTTCTACAATAGTTTTTGATTAATTTAAAGCATAAAAGTGCATCAACTGACTACTGTATGCCACCAGTAAAAGAGGAAGTGAGGATATGGAGGAAAAYAAAAGTCTGAATAGTAAATGGCAGCAGACATCTTAGAAAGTCCAGTTTACATTAAATAGTCTTTTACACCTCTTGTGCTTCCTCTGACTTTATTTTTAATCACCTTTTATAGATATCACAGTTACCTCTATTCGCCTTCATTCAGTAAAATCTTTCACAACAAAGATGTGCTATCGCTAACATGAAATTTTAGCAGCGATGCAGGTACATTCATTTGGTTGTTAATGGTCACCATGCATACAAATATTTATTTATTTCCTTTCCCTTTTTTTTAAAGTGACCCTTCAACCAAGAGATGAATTTCGAACAGCCCCCTCCATACCCAGGCAATGCCCCAACAGCTCCAGGCTACCCGGCTCAGGGCCCACCTCCCCAAGGCTACCCGCCTCAAGGCTATCCTCCCCAGGGCTATCCTGTGAACATGGAGCAACCCAATCCAGCATACCCTAACTACCCTCCTGGACCAATGGGACCCGGAGGTCCTTATCCTGGTCCTGGACAGCCTCCWTATGGATATCCTGGTCAACCACAGTACGCCTGGCAGGGCGGACCCCCTCCTGGGCCTATGTATGGAGAAGCACCAAAAAACACAGGTGAGTGTGAAGAGAGAGGTTTGTGGTGTGAATGTGGGTGTACAGAAGATGTCACTTACTGCTGATGGCRTTAAAGTGCTTTGTTGAGTGGTACWGGGAATACAGCCACATCATGAGACGGAAATCCAAGAATCACATGACTGAGCTGTCCTTACTGACATCTCTGTGGCTAGTTACTAAGGCMACTTCATTTATGCTCTTAAGATTTATAGCTCATACATTTTAATAAGCAACAATACTTGGAAACACCAGTGTCCGCACTACCAATTGATCCTTCTTTATCAAGCTGAAGTCAGTAGACTGGTGATRGTAACATTTTTAACATTTCTATCTGTAGCTTTGAGCTCTTAGGGCAGTGATTTCAGAATGTGATACAAACTAGTTACATGTTTCTACTTTTCAAACCTGTAGCTGTCATCTCTGCAGTTCACACAGAAATCRCATGGCTTAGTCTCAAACACAAGGAGTAAAAACTACCCAATAGTCTGGGTTAACACACAGAGGAGAGGTGTAACATAAGGCTAAAAGAAGAATTTTGATGAAAACTCGAAAATAAAAACTTTAAAAAAAATTCAACCTTTAAATGACTTTTTAATACTTCGTGTATATGTGTGAGGCAAGCCTGAAATTTGAAMATAGGCCTAAAAATAAAATGGAACAAAGTGTTACCAAATGAATGTTTGAGTGTGTTTAAGCCTGCTTGTTTTGCACTGTGAAATTAGACTAAMAACTCATCTCCAGCTTTTGAGAATTTGTTCCATGACTTGTGGTGTTTACGTTTATAKTTCACTGCCAGCTAATGTGCAAGTCGTCTCAACTGTAATTAATTACTTTTAAAAGTATTTCCTCACTGATTAAATTTTATATTGCCACCAATTCATAATGTTAATTTCCCCTCATCTATCCATTATTAGTTCATATCTGCTTACCTCTTGTGGACACAGTCAGCAGCTTTCATCACATATTCTGGACATTTTTACCTCCAACCTTTATAAACTTTCCCAGATATTTTTTACTTTTTCCATGCAGAGAACTTTGGATGCTCTCTTCACGTCTTCACACAAATTGTAAAAACTCAACTATATGAACCGAGTAAATCCCAAGATTTTTAACTTGTTCCTGATTGGAGAAATTAAAAATGTTACAACTGACCCATGTTAGATTCATCCCTGATCTCTATACATCCAAATKAAATTTATATACAGTACAGACCAAAAGTTCGTAAAAAGTAAGAAACAATTTTCTTTATTTTCATGACTATGAAAATTGTAGATTCACACTGAAGGCATCAAAACTATGAATAAACACATGTGGAGTTATATACTTAACAAAAAAGTGTGAAACTACTGAAAATATGTCTTATATTCCAGGTTCTTCAAAGTAGCCACCTTTTGCTTTGGTTACTGCTTACAATTTTCAGTCATGAAAATAAAGGAAACTCTTTGAATGAGAAGGTGTGTCCAAACGTTTGGTCTGTACTGTAAGTTCAAAGAAACTGAGGCTGTCTAGTTCATTATAAAGATCTACAAACACTCTCATCTGGCTTCTGTTTTCATCAGTAAAGTGTATATTTAGCTCTTATATCACTTCAGTCACACCGTATCAACTCTAAATACACAAATTTGTTAAGAGGCTCTGTTTCTGTTTGCTAATTTCGTAGAGCAATTTAAGTCTTAGCATTCATTCCAGAGCTTTAAAGTGAGATCATCTGACAGTGAAAAGTGATGAAGTTGCATCTTGATGTTGTGCAGAGATCTCATCATGAGATGTGTATACTCTCAAAATAATGTGACGAGGATGACTCTCAGCTACCATGCAAACTTTTAGTTCAGTATCTGTAAAACTGACAAAGATAAAGCTGTTCATGTGTCTGCTAAGGTTGATTGTGATGATGACCATCTCTAATTGGGATGACTCCAGTGCTTACAGTGATTCCTTTTTTAGTTTTATTAAAATCTGATTAGTGGTTTATCGGATATTTTGAAGAAACAACAAGCAAACAGACACGGAAAAAAACATCAGTGTCTTTTCACCTTCATCTGGATCAGTCCTGGAACGGTCCTGGATCACACGAGAAACCAGAGGTACAGAAACGATGAGCAACAATGAGTCGTTTTGCTGAAGAGATCAGATTCTGCAGGATCCTAAAAAGTCCCAAATTTAATAATCCAGATTTTTAAAATGTCCTGAACATGTCCAGATTTTCTATTTTGGGTCTAAAAATAAATTTAGTTATTTCTTAAAGGTGCATGTTTGTTCAGGGCTGCAACTACTATTTTGATAGTCAACTACAGTAATCTAAAATATAATTTTTTTTCAATTAGTTGATTAGTCAATGATTATTTTGTCACAACGTCCATCTATGCTTCCTGTGAGCACATCTCCTGTTCCAGTAGTGCACATCTCACATACTCCTTATACCTGTGAATGTCACCATGTTATCCAGTCTTTCTACCTTAACATTACATGTTCTCATAGCAAAATAAAATAACCCATAAAACATATGAATTTGAACCTCAAACATCACAAGTTACACGTATGTATTTGAACATTGATACATGTAAGCATAATAAAAATTAAATTACACAATACATATTAAGTCACAAGTAGTCTTTTAAACAAACAGTGAATGTACAAATAACTCAAATTAGCAGTCTATCCCCAGCATGAGTAGCTGTTAACCTGCCCTGCAGGGTGTAGACATAGCTTTGCAGCAAAATAAACAAAAGATTAACATTGGTTAAGGTGACATTCACGTGCATAAAAGTAAGAAGATAATCCATTCTGTTAGAAATATTTCTGGATCTCACAGACCAAAAGTTATAAGGCTTCAATGCCAGCAAAAAAAAAACAAAACATATGTGACATATGTCTCATATATATATAT